CTTTCTGGAGAAATGACATATAGTCTTTTCCCCAGAAAGCACTTTCCTGGGGGCACCTTCTTGGGGGGACCATAATTCAGACCCCGTAAATCCCATCCTCACCAAACTTGGAGGGCAGGTAGAAGAGAGTCAGCTGGAGATCCTCAGTGAATCTGGTGTCTCTAGCAAGCCAGGTGTTGTTCTATTGCCTCACAAACCAAACCAGTTTGTGAGGCAGTTAAAAATTTGTGATGGTTCGTGGTTCACAAAGGGGCACGCTATGAACCAAACCACATTTTTCCAGTTCGTGCCCATCCCTAGTAACAAGGGGGAATCCCTTGCTCCACCCCACCCAACAGCTAACAATTGCTATTTAGAAGCATGGGTTAACAACTAGTTGGTGACTGTGGGAAACAGGATTCTGAATTAGATGGACTTTCAGTTCCTTTTGCTTCAATAAAACCCTTTTTTGCTCTCTTTCATTCTAAGTAATGTGCTCTTCACCATGTTTTTCCATGGGCTGCTCCCCCACACAAAATCAATGAAGCATTCCTTTTAAAGTATATGCAAAATAAGCTCCATTTTTACCCCAAAGCGTGTTCTTGTTCATCCTAAGTAAAGGGGTGATGTTACTGGCTATGATTGCTTTCTCCTGTTAATTCCATCCATTCTGTTCCCTCTTTGTTATTTTTACATTTTTAATATTTATTTATTCCATATTTTTAAGCTTGTTGGGCAAGTATGATTTTTCTTTCATATTCCATTTATTTAAATCATTTACAGTATGTATTGAGAACAACTATGCATTCCCTTATCAATACACAATACACGCCGGTATATCATTAATATATCAATACTAACATCAATATTACACCAACTTGAATAGCCTGAGCTCCACCAATATGACCCAGACCATGTTGCCAGCTGACTATCATATGCCCGCCACCATTATATTGCGCTAGCACTTTATGTATTGTTTTAGACCTATTTTATTGCAATTTTATTTAATTAATTGCTTTATCTAGTTTTAATATTATGTAAGCTGCCCTGAGCCTGCTCCGGCGGGGAGGACGGGATATAAATAAGATAAATTTTTAATATAAATAAATATAATTCTGAACATGGCCCAGAGTGCTGATTAAAAAAAAACCAACCCAGCACAATGTGGCCATGTATGAATAAGAAGGGTCAACAAACCTGGGGAAAACCCAGCCTTGCTAAGATCCAACTACCTCCCCCAAAATAACTTGAAGGGTGGGGGAGCCTATGATGATATATTATGAGATCTCAGTAACAGTTTTGAGGGTTGTTTAGCAACCCCATAAACAATGCTGAAGGGCCCCCCTACCTGCTCCTGGCAGGAGAAGGGGAATTAAGGCCACAGAGGCAGGGTAAGGCAAACAAGTAGGAGACAGGGAGAGAGAGGAGGAGGTGACCAAGCAAGGAAGGAAAGGTGAGAGGTGTTGGAAATATGTGTGTGTTGCAAGGTCTAAATCCAGTCATTATAGGGTTAATGTGTTTACCTTGAGTGCTATTGTTTAGACTGACCTGGAAGGGTACCTGGCAGAAAGCCAATGGAAAGAAAGGTGGGAAACTGAAGCCTATTTACTAACAATAATTGGTTAATGCATTCAGGTGATTTCCTTCTAGGAGTCAAGAAGAAAGGAAGACTCTCCATTACTATTTGTGTGTCTGTTTTTGCAAGCGTGTGGTCTCGAGAGTTTGTTGTTTTTGTAGATGTCCTGTGTACCCTTCCCTTTAGAAATAAAGATTTATACATAGGAAGAAAATGCCTCGTCTCCAGTGAACAAAGATCCATTGCAACCTCTGAATATTTAGCTGTTTTTACCAATTTTCCAACAAGAGGAGTGGCAAAGGAAGGAGGACGATGAGGAGGCTGGTCGGTAGGTGATAAACCCAGTGAGGGGGGAGGTGGTAGAGGAGAAAGAGGAGGGATGGTGGCGGTGGCAGCAGCAAAGGAAGGAGGAGGAAGAGCTTTTTTTTTGAGGGAGGCAGGAATGGGTTGGGGCAGGTGGTTGTGATTTCCCCTTCTGCATGTTTCTTGCAGGTCCCTTGATTGTATATTGTAAGAGTGGAGCTGAGTAAGCTACAGGTAGGGTTGCCACCTCTTGGAAAGCTCTGGGAAAGGATGGAGCTCAGCCCAATGTCTCCCCTGCTCTTTCCGTATAGCTGAAGGGGGAAAGCCTAGTTAAGGGGAAGGCTGCGATGAGCCAAAGTCATTTAAAAGCCCCCACACATATGTGCCTGTTTCCTTCATGATCAGAACTCAGATCCCTTCAGGTGAGATCTGAGGAGATGTCCTTCCAGGGAACCATAAATAAAAATTAATTAGAAACAGCCTCTCTCCTATTCTAAGAAAATAACTTTCATCTGGCAACTGGCTAGAAGGTGGGAAATCAGACATGCTGTTGGAAATCTGGCTAGTTTGCAACTCTGGCTAGAGGGAAGGAAATAGTATCTCCTTTCTTCCCATTGTTCCATCACATCCTTGCCCTTTGGACATTTTCTGGTCATTCTTTGCAGGGGAATTGGAATAATGTAAGGGAAATCTGGTGTATATACTCAGGGATGCTTTTCGAAGGTCATTACGATCCCTTGGAGATCTTTTGATTAACCCTCCAATTACCCTGAATTCCAGTTAGGGTTGCCAGGTCAAGGTTGGGAAATCCTTGGAGATTTGGGGGAGAAGCCTTGGAAGGGCCAGGTTTGGGGAGGGAAGCAACCTCAGCAAGGTAAATGCCCTAAAGTCCACCCTCTAAAGCAGCCCCATTTTCTCCAGGGGAGCTGATCTCTGTCATCTGGAGAGCTGTTGTAATTCCAGGTGGTCTCCAGCCCATACATGGAGGTTGGCACCCGTAAGCCCACTGGGCTCTGAGGAGGATTACCAGCAGGCCCAGATTGCCCTGAAAAGATAGCCTGGCATAATGTTCAGGAAAGATTTGAGTGCTTTCATTGGTACAAAGTATTCAGATTAGAAAACCTTTAGTTTACTTATATGTTTATTTTAAATATTTATTAGACACCTTTCTTCCATATGGAGCCCAAGGCAGTTTACAATATAGATTAAATACATAAAATAAAATACATAAACACCAAAATTTAAAATCACAGTTGAGGTCTGCTAGTAACGTAATCAAATATGGTCCTAAATAAAACTGTCTTCAACTGCCTCCTAGAGATTGAAAGTGAAAGGGCCAGGTGCACCTCCCTGAGGAGGAAGAGGAGGAGTTGGTTTTATAGCCAGGTTTTCACTACCCAAAGGAGTCTCGGAGCAGGTTACAATCACCTTCCTTTCGTCTCCCCACAACAGACACCCTGTGAGGTAGGTGGGGGTGAGAAAACTGTGACTGGTCCAAGGTCACCCAGCAGGCCTCATGTGTCTCAAAGAGGCTTACAAGCACCTTCCCTTCCTCTCCCCACAAGAGACACCCTGTGAGGTAGGTGGGGCTGAGAAAGCTCTGAGAGGACTGTGACTGACCCAAGGTCACCAAGTTCACTTCATGTAGAAGAGAGGGGAATCAAAACCAGTTCTCCAGATTAGCGTCTGCCATGCTTAACCAGCATACCAAGCTAGTTGTTCCATAATCATGGAAGTGCCACAGAAAAGCCCCTCTCTTGTATATCCACCGAAAGAGCTTCTTTGATAGGTGAGAGTCAGGAGGGCCTCCCTCTGTGGTCTTAATTCCTAGGCAGGAACATATGGGAGAAGACAGTCCTCCAGATACCCCGGTCCCAAGCTTATGTATAGGCTTCCCAGCCTCCAGGTGGGGTCTGGAGATCTCCCGCTTTTACAACTGATCTCCAGCTGACAGAGATCAGCTCCCCTGGAGAAAATGGCCGCTTTCAAGGGTGGACTCTATGGCACTGTACCATGCTGAGGCCCCTCCCCTCCCCAAACCCCGCCCTCTCCTGGATCCACCCCCAACGTTTCCAGGCATTTTCCAGCCCAGACCTGGCAACCCTACTTAGGTAAGGCTTTAAAGGTCAAACCCAACACCTTGAATTGAGCTTGGGAGTGGGTTGGGAGCTAGTGCAATTGCTGTACTATTGGGGTCACGTGCTCCCGATCGCTGGCCGGGACCAGGAGTCTACTTGCAGTGTTCTGCACTAGCTGCAGCTTCAAAACACTCTTCAAGTGTAGCCCCAAGCAGAGTACATTGCAATAGTCCACTCTAGATGTAACAAGGCATGATCACTGTGGCTAGATCTGACTGAGCCAGGAACAAACACAGATAACACACCAGCTGTAGCTGGGCAAAAGCTTTCTGAACCCCTGCAGCCATCTGGTTTTCTAAGGTGCGTGCTATTTTGAATAGCATTCCCGAGTTGCCAACTGGGCTTTTCAAGGGGACTATAACCCCATCCCATACAGGAGAGATCTGAAGTTCCTGATCTGCCTTTCTACTAACCCAGAGAACCTCTGGGTTGTGATGGCCTTGGGTGGTACAAATACCTACATTTTCTAGCAAAATGAAGGATCATGTCCCTTCAAAAGTCAGAAAGAAAGAAGAAAAGCTGAGTGGTTACATGTTCTCAGACAACATCAGTTTCTGAAGGCATGCCAGAGAAGACACATGGTTGGTGCTCCTGAGGTAATCTGGCTGAGGGCCAGACTGCAGAAGTGTTTATTAGATCACTTGTTTAGCGAAACAAGAAGCTATGGAGTCCGAGGACAGGCTTTGGTCTAGTAGCCAGAAGGCAGGGAAAAGCAAAGGAGGACACTCCGATGGTGTCCCAGTTGTACATTAATATAATTGGAACACCATGTGGGACACATATCCAGTTCTGTAATAAAGTCCACATCGCAAAGCCTGGGCTGGCAATGCATCCTCCTGTCACAGCGCTCTGGATCTTGTTTGCATACCAGGAAACAAACCGGATAAAGTCGGTTGCGAGGTTAGTCCCTGAATCATCCTTCTCGTATGCTTTGTTGTTGATGTTACCTAATTAATTGCTATGAAACATTGAACCTGACGGAACTTCCCAAGGGGCAGGTCGCAACGAGAGGTGGAAATTCTCCGGCAGCAATGAACATTTCAGAATGAAGAACCCGCTGGCAGGTTGCACAGTAAGTAACTCTAAGCCGTGGAGGTGCCTCTTAGCAGTTTCTCCCTTAACAGTTTAGCATAATGGAAGAGAGAGCAAGGACCAAAGGGTATCTCAGGCTACGTTTGCACAAGGGAGCTGGAGTGATGCATTCATAGCAACTGGGGAAACCAGAAGGCCAGGCTCAGAAAGCAGAGCTGTCTGTTCCTTTGAATCTTCACAGCCCTTTGTTAACCGGGCATGCTTTGGGGGGAATTCTGTAGGATCTTTCAGGCTGAGTTTCTCTTGCTCCTGCCAGTGTAGAGAAATTACTTCATGCCCTCTTTTGTTTGGAGCTCAGTAGGTTCTTGTTTTAAAAAGTACTTGTGCACCGCAGCACTGTGCTGAGTGATGGCGGCTTACTAGTACTCTGTGGCGCTGATCCTCTGGACTACTGTGCTGGCACACACCCCGGTTGCTTCTGCAAGACTCCTCATCCCAGCACTGTAGATGCTGCACTCACTTCTCAGCAGAACAAATCCCCCCCAAATAGCGGAGGAAGATGCTGAAGTAGCATAATTTAAGAGTGATCAAAAAAAAAAAATTCTGTTAACCTGGTCAGGCACTAGTGGCCACTCTAAAGAGGAGCTGGAGGTGTTGGGGCAGGCTTAAACCTTCACCATCAACGCAGTTTCTCATCCAGACTGGTTGGCATAACAATCCTTTTTTCAGTTCTGACCCTCGTACTCGAAGGTCAAACTACACATGTGACACTCAGTCACGTGACTGTCCCCCTATAGACTTTTAAGAGTTTTTTCATCTGAACGGTCTGTAGGAAGCTGCTCGCGTCTCAGTCATAAGTTCACTCAGAGTGGTGGTGGGGTGGCTATCTCTTTCCCAGCAGGCTGTTTTTCTTCTCAGAATTGCCACCTGCAAGCTAAAAACATCAGATGCCTGTCTCTTTTCTCCCACTGGGCAAAAAAAAAAGGGGGGGGAGCTTGAAAGGGACAGTTTTGATGACAAAAATGACATGGAGGGGAAAGATGGGTGTACACACAGACACTTTCAGTCTGGATTATCGATTCCTGCAATCATGTTGGGTAAACAGAGATAGTTGATGCAACTGTAAACAGCATTAATGGACTCAGAAGAGTGTAACTCTGTTTAGAATTGTCTTGAACAACATTTCATGCAAGATGTTCATGTGACCCTTATATCCTCAGAGATCAATGAAGATCTGGGAAAGTTTGTTGTGGCTCTGTTATCTCGGGGCATGGCAAAGTCATTTGAACCCCCCCCCCCCCCGTTCAGGAATCCATTGTATACGTGTGCACAAACTGTTGTATGTTGTTTTGTACGAAGTCAGAAGCACAACTGATCGACATCAGTTCTAAAACACTAATATAGCTGTTGATTTTCCAGCAAGTTGCACCCCAAGCCACTACAACGCAGCACGAGAACTGGGAACGAGCCAGAACAAGATTCTCTAACAAAGTTTGTGTCATTACATTTTGGCATGTGTTTTTTAAAAGCATCTGGGAAACTAATTTTACAGGTTTTAAAAAATGAAGTTGTGCTAGTGGTTGCTGCATTCTGTGGTGGTAGTTGCTATTGATTTTTTAAAAACCCAACTCGATGGCACAATTGAGATGGTTGTGCCAAATTTTCCTTGAGTTCGGTTTTCAGAGTTTGGAAGCACAACTCTCTCCTCAGGAAAAAAAAACGGCTAGACAACTTTTTCAGTCAGCCTCACCAAACAGCCCCCCCCCTCATGTATTTTATCCATGCAGATCCCATGAACCCCTGCATAGCTTTTTGGGGTCCAGTCAAAATAGACTCCCTCCTCCCTTCTTAATCAGCAGAAAATCTGGTTGGATTTAACTCCTAGTATTCCTCTGGTCTTGGGAATGGACTTTCCAGAGCACTGTTGGATGTCTCCCTCTAAGTAGCTGCTGTATCCACTTCGGAAGAGGCAACCCACAGCAAGATGCAGAGCCAGATCCTCCCCATCTGGAGAAGCAGAGGGTCAAGCCACGTGTTTACAGGAGCAATTTAGTGAATATTAATGAACCACCCATTCCTGTGCTCCCTGAAAGATCAATAAAACTCCTTTGGACTGGGTCCGACCTCCATTGTATACAGCGGCTCTTTGGGTTTTGACCCTAGTAATTAACCAGAATGCCTGACCTGGATGGTCTAGGATAGCCTGTTCTCATCAGATCTCAGAAGCTAAGCAGGGTCAACCCTGGTTAGTATTTGGATAGGAGACCACCAAGGAATACCAGGGTCATGAGACAGAGGCAGGCAATGGCAAACCATCTCTGTTAGTCTCTTGCCGTGAAAACCCTACACGTTCGTCATGGGTCAGCTGCGAGTTGATGGCACTTTCCACCTCCACCTCCCCCCAATGCACAAGAATGATTCTGAAAACCATTTCCACCTAATGAAAACAATAAGGCGAAAAGACTTCTCACGAGTTAAACCCTGGTATTCTGAGAAACCTAGATTCAAGCCCAAGTACCTCCGACTATTATCTTTAGCACAGGGATAAGCAAAGGGCCTTTCACTGGCTTGGATCCAGCAAAGCACAAGCGAGATGGAAAACGTACTTAATGACTGTCCACTTGCACAAGCAATGTTTTATTTATGTATTTTATTTAATTTCTAGCCAGCCCTCCCCACATAGCAGGCTCAGGGTGGGTTACAACATTCTCCAAACATACAAAAGTTAAAAATAGCCCAACCCTTAATATCTATAAATTATTAACAATACTAATCCATGAAGCATCAAGCGGTGTCAGCTACTTAACTTAATGAGTCGAAAAAGACTCCGGCGATGGGTAGCTGCAGCCATTTCAATACAATTTTTAACAAAATAACAAATTTACTCTGGATCGATGGAATGTGCAACAGAGAGTTTGTATGATTTTTCTCGAATTTTTTTGTGTGTGTCAGAAGAAAAACCTGGTGTGATGTCTTGCACATGTGGAAAGGACAGTAGGGTTAGTGCAAGCAGACAAGAAGGAGTAATACTAGTGCTTCCACGTGTGAAGAGTGTTGTGCATGCAGGAATCTTCCATGGGACCCAGCCTCATTTCTCTATTGTAAGAGTTCACTTGTTTTTATTTATCAATATTCATACGCTGTACTTTTGCTGCACAATTGGGGACCCAAGGCTGCTTCCAACATCCTTCTCCCCTCCTCCGTTTTATCCTCGCAACAACAACCTTGTGAGGCAGCTTCAGCTGAGACCGAGCGTTGAGCCCAAGATCACCCAGGGACTTTCCAAGGCAGAGTGTGAATTCCAACCTGGGTCTTCTAAATCATAGAATCACAGAGTTGGAAGGGGCAGGCTTCCCAAGTACTTACCGTGATTCAGCGGGGGATGAAGACATCTTTGCAGGATCATTCCTGCAGGGACAACAGACGTGCCGCACCATGCCGTTGGCAGGAAGTGACGCCGGGCAACGCTGTGGTGATGGGGCCAGAAACCCGATGGTACCATCGAGTTTTCAGCCCCATTGCCAGAGCGTCGCCCAGTGTCATTTCCTGGCGATGGCATGGTGTGTTACAAGGAAAAATGTTCCGGCCGGGGAGCATGTGTCCCCCACCGGATTGCGGTAGTACTTGGCAACCCTGGGAAGAGGCCATACAGACCATCTAGTCCAACCCCCTGCCCAATGCAGGACCAGCCTAGAGCATCTCTGACAAATATTTGTCCAGCCTCCTCTTGAAAGCTGTCAGTGAAGGGGAGCCAACCACCTCCTTAGGCAGCTGATTCCACCTTTGAACCACTCTGACCGTGAAAAAGGTTTTCCTAATATCCAGCCGATACCTTTCTGTGTGTAATTTTTTTTTTATTGCCTTCTTTTTTTTTTAATAAAGATTTTATTGGCTCCCCTAAAAAGGGGAGGTATTTCGCTTAAAAGAAAAAATGGGAAGGGTAGACAGTGGGAGAAAGAGAAAGCTGAGTGATATATAAACTGGTAAATTAAACTGTTAGTAATGTCCAATTAATCTTCTTGGGCTTCTTCTGTGTGTTGTCAAACTTCTTTTCTTAGTCTGGTCACATGTAGTTCTCTGTTAGTATGTTAGTAATGTTCCTTTGAATTTCTGTTAATAAAAGAAAATCTCTTCTGTGCACATTCAGAACCGCTTCTTTGCGTGCTGGGTACTTTTACTATCGCTGACGTGGAGGAGCTTCCTCTGTTGTCTTCTCCTTCCGGCTTGTTAGATCCTCCTTCGGGTTGTTGTTAATACTCTCAGTTCATGCACTATAAATCCTCTTCTTTTCATGCCATTACCGGAGGTCCCCAATTTTGAGAATGGTATTAATTTCATTTTCGCTTTTATATCCGCTCCCAAACTGTGTGTAATTTAAACCCGTTGCTTCGGGTCCTGTCCTCTGCTGCCAAATCCTTTCTGACACACTAACCAGTGCTCCATGGTGGCTTGCACGGGTGCTACTTGTAAGAAATCTCCATTGGCCTATTATGCTTAGCGTGAGGTTGTGATTTATCCAATATTGTCCTCATTCCCTTCCTACAAGCAAGCCTTGTGCACCAGTTGGAGAGGGAAGGAGGCTCACATCTGAAAGGAGCCAGATAGTAGCTCCATTGTTTCCATGTGAGACTTCCCTGTATGTTTTGCAAATACCTGAAGATGGGTTTGAGGGATGATCTTGCGTACTAGTTTAATGAAATGATGGAACCGGGGGTGGGGGGGAGAGAACTAAGAGCCATACTCTGTGAGATCTCCTAAACCAGGAAGGGTGTGTGTGTGTTTGCGTGGGTGCTAGAGAAGGTGTATTCATTTTATAAATGTCTCATCCCTGTGAGCAGATACCATTTTGACTGGGTGGATATGGTGGCCAGGTTTCAGAGAACAATTGCAATCCACCCACCTGAAACAAACTGCAGGTATCTGTTAGGTATCTTGCACATTTTCTTACCTTGATAAGTTGACGTGCTAAAAGGTGTACCGCCGGTTTGTAAGCCCCAGTTACTAATAGCAGCCCTCCATGCCAACCTTTGAGCAGATCTCTGCTGTGTGGAATTGTTTCTCTCGCAGATTGCTGTTCCAGGTGCTTTTCCTGAAACTGCATCCCAGGTGGAAGCTGACAGGTTGATATATTGCCAGGCCTTATACCTGCAAACGTGTCTCAATCTGTTTGTTGTGTTTCAGTATGACAGAGCGTACCAAGATCTGAAAGGGTTTTCCAAAAATGGAGATAACTTCTGCAAGCAACTCTTGTCTATTCTTCAACAGAGGTAGGTGGGCCTGCCTAATGCAACCATCCAGCTGCAGGCTTGAATGCTAAATTATTTCCTCAGGGGGGGAGCTTCTATCCTTTGGAACAAACTTTAAATTAGTTAATAATTTACCCCCTGAGTAGCTGGTTAATGGTTTGGTCTCCTGCTGTTTGGAAGATAATTTGCTCACCTGGTAATTACTAGGAAGGCCTGATTCATGGGTCAGTTTCAATATGATGTCATTCACATGGATTTTCTTACTTTCACCTGCTACTTCATGTGTCTGAACTCAGAATGCATAAGCACAGTGTTGTAAAGGTCACTTCGACTTTGATCATACACTTATTTTCTGCTCACAGAAGAGGGAGAAGGTGATTTTTGCCAATTCCCTGTTCCTATTTTGACCCTGGGAGATACAATGCGGGGGGGGGGAGAGCAGTGGGAGAAGGGTGAGGGAAAACCTCTCTTCATATGTTGTGCTAGTGCTAACAGAATCCAAACCACATAAATGTTTTTCTTTTAACTGATAGGGGACGTCTTTGATCTAGTGTTCAGCGCTCATAGATGGACTTTTTAAAGTCCCCCTTAAGCAATGATCTTTCATACAGTTATTTCATAGCTTCACTTATGAGTGCTGGCTTTGATATATAAAGCAGGGATGCTGAGCTTTACAACAGAATAATTCCATTTTCAACAATGGCAATGATGTAAGCCTCAGATCTCCTGGTTTCTCTGCTGTTTCGCTTCAAGAGTGTGGTGAACAGCTTTGTGAGTGCACAGTTGCTGTGGTTGTTTCTTTATCCATTGTGGTCTTTGGCACCTGTGCATTACGGGACATCAGTCTCCCTCCCGCAAAGTCATTGTTAGGTCATGTTGTTGAAAATCACAGATCACTCAGTTTCCTCTCCTTGTGCATGTGTGAAATGCTACCAGTCCAAAGAGATTAGCAGCCATTAATGTTGATAACAAGGACTTAGATGAACACCAAAAGGCAGGACTTTTTAGGAGCTATTTATAAATCACTGACTAATTGACTCTATTTGGTTTGTTCCGTCTTTCAACAGCTTTGCACGATAGCAACCGGTCTGGGTGGGAGATTATGACTCCCCTTGGGTTGTGCAATAATGGGCATGTGTGAAACGGTGGTGATTGTTTTGCATGTTTAAATATAGGGCACAGGTTTGAGAAGCTCATGAACTGCTGAATTGTCAAAAAAAAAATCTGTTCCCTGCTTGCAACAAGCAAACAAAACATGAGCAGAAATTGTGGGTGCTCAATGATCTCAAATACAGAGTCCTAAATGTTTTGGGATAGGATTGCCTGACCTCTATATCAATCTGCCTACACTTCAGGATTGTTGGCCTATGTCACTTTTTGAACTGAGGCAAGTGGCGAACAGGGGCAGGGCCTTTTCTCTGGTGGTGCCCTGGCTGGGGAGTGTCTTCACCAGAAACATGAAAATGGCATTTTGTCTCCTTTTACACAGCAGGTTAAGACTTTTTGTTCTCCTCTGTATTTTGATGACTACTTGCTCCATGCTCCTTGTTTAGTTTTTTTTAATTATTTGATCTTTTTTTGTAAGCCCACCTTGAAGACCTTTAAAATGGAGAAGCAGAATATAAATTGCTTAAATGAATAGGGCTTGACAGAAATCTCAGATCTTGCTTATAGACAGGGGTCATTTGGGGGGGGGACGTGGGGGGACGCCATCCCCCCGGGTGAGGTGCGGGAGGGCGGGGCCTGGAGCTCCCTGCTGGTGCCCGCTGGAGGTCGCCGCCGGCTGTGGGGAGGACACACTTCCGGTGATGTCAGGGGGTGTGGCATATGCTAATGAGTTATGCTAATGAGTCCCCCTAGCTCTTTTTCTACAAAATGACCCCTGCTTATAGATATGCTGCTTTATACATGTGATGTTTCCATGTAGAGGGGTTCACGTGCTCATTCTAAAATGTCTGAGTATTTAAAATGTTATGTGGAAACAGCTCCAGCGGTTCACAATCTCCATTCAATGCTAAGACTAGGCAGGGCCATTATCTGTGGCAGCAGGAGAAAAAACGGGGAGAGCAAAATAGCATCCCTCAGTGTATGAAGTCGCATCCAGCTGTGTGACTGGAAGTGATGTCAGTGTGTTGTGGGATGCTCTGGATTCTCACAAGACGCTATACTTTTTACCATAGAGTTTCAAGTGAATCCTGGCATGTCCAGTGATATACTGATGTTACTTCCAGTTATGCAGCCTGAATTGATGTTACAGTATTAATGAATGCCATTTGTGTAAGTTCCACCATTCAGGTAATTCTCGCCCTCCCCAATCTGACCTTGGCTGGCAAACCTGAGAAATTTACATTGAAGGTGATGGGTTCAAAACGGTGTGTCTCTGGTTAGGATTAGTCAGAGATGAATAGTTTGCACAATAGCCTTGATGTAATGACAGGGGAGAGATTGATGCAATGGCTTGATTAGAAGTTCTCACTAAGCCTGTCCAAGTACTTGCAGATGCAAGCAGAGAGTAGGCAGGTGACATTCTCTTGATGCCGCAATAAGTAGCTTCTTGATCTAGCTTCTCAAAACATTAAAAGCTGTTCATGCTTCTGAGCCAATAGTCATTGCTTTGTTTTCACAAAAAGTAGATGCGATATACGAATTGATAACAGATAATTGCATCTAATCGAGACGCAACTTTCGCATCTGTGAAAAAGTAATGTGCAGTCTAGGCCTACCTCTGGGAAATGCCACAGCTTTCAAAGAAATGTTTTCCATACCATTCAGTGGAGCACTCAGTTTGTGAGATGCACAACATTTCTATTGTTTAAACACAACACAGGAGCAGAATGCTTGCCAGAGAAGTTTTAAGAAGGACCAACCATTGCAAAATCTGTTCATATCTTTTAAATTATGTGTATTGATCTTATTATCTATATAATAAATTATAACATCATCCCAGAGTATGGAGCACATAATCTGCACAATGAGGCCATGTACAGATGAGAGGGAGATTTTTTTCCCTCTACAAAACTGGGGAAATCCTACATGTACAGAAAAATTCTGAAAAGTGAAAAAAATCAGGCCTTTTCAAAAATCCTAAATATGATGTCTGCACTTGCACAGACATCACAACTTAAAACAGAAAAAAGGAGAGAGATCTTGGAACATAGCATTATGGGATTTTGTCAGTCATGTTGGTGTTGCCTAGCAACCACAATAAACATTGATGGGGTGGAGGAGGAGAAGGTGGCTGGTGGTGGATGATTGGGGAGGAGTAAGTAATAGTGTCAGGGTGGGAGAGAAAGGTGGCAGAGGGACTGGGGGGGGACAGGACTTCACCTCTCCCGTGAGTTCCTCACTGATCCCTCAGTTGTGTGCGCGTGCATGCATGTAACTATGAAAGACAGATATAGTTTAAAACAAACCAAATAAAAGCTGCAATTTAATTTTCCAGGTATATCTCCCTAACCCACACCTTTATAGATACTTCCATCAATTGCTTCTACAACTGAGGCTGTTATAGTCAGATGAGCAAATATCTGTTTTGTTTTCTAAAGGTTGTTTGGGTCTAAGTGTCACCAAAAATACATATCTGTAATTATGGCCAATTCCATTAGGGTGAAGTAGGTGTTCTTACATGTCTTTGTCTTTTCGTGGGCACAGTTAGTCACTGTAAGAGTTCCCATCTCAAGGATGACTATGGAGTTGTCTATTTTTCAAGTACTTTGTGGGTGGATTCTGGAGGAAGGAAGTCTTTCCTTTTTGCTCTCATGATGAGCACTGATTGGGGAGGGAAAGTATTATTCCCACTCCCCCAGTCTGTGGGAATCAGCCATTTTCAGAGCAATGGAGAGTGAAAGCAGATTGCCCACTGTATTTCTGGAATCAGAATTTCAATTTGCATAATAAGAACATTTTAACATCTCCTATATTTAGCCAGATAAATTTCTCTGAAGTTACTTTCAGTAACCTGTAGAACATAAGTTCAATGGAATTTAGTGGTTCTTTATAACAGGATATTTTGAAACTAAATAACTTATTGGAAGGTATCTTGGAAGAAGAAGGAGGAGAAGGAGGAGGAGGGATTTATACCCCGCCCTTCACTACCCAAAGGTGTCTCAAAGTGGCTTTAAAACTCCTTTCCCTTCCCCTCCCCACAACAGACACCCTGTGAGGTAGGTGGGGCTGAGAGAACTCTTGACAGAAACTGCTCTTTTTCAAGGACAGCTGTGCCAGAGCTATGGCTTGCCCAAGGTCACTGTGGAGACCTTCTACATTTGAAGGAAAGTATGGTGGGGTCAAACTGACCCTCTTTACCACCTCCTAGTTTTCCTAGTGAGGACTGCACATGACAGATAGCTTTGTGCGTGCCACTGTGAAACTCAGCATAAGACTAGCATCGGAACTGGTCTTAATTGTGTGAACGGACATTTGACAACAGCTATCACTATGGGATAGGCTTGCCAAGTCCCCCCGGGGGACAGGGAAACCCCCACCCCAGAGGCCCGTTCCCCACCGCCGCCTGATCGGGCCCTGGGGGGAACTCCACCCCGACATGCACGTCACCAGGAAGTGACGCGACCACGCTGGGCACACTGGGGGCGGGGCCACGGTCATCCGAGGGAAAACTCTATGGTTTTCCCTTGGATGGTCGTGGCCCCGCCCCCAGCGTGCCCGGCGTGGTCACGTAACTTCCTGGTGACGTGGATGCGGCACGCATGTGCTTCGCGCGTGCGTGCTCCGGGAATGACCCGGGAGTCCCCCGCTTCAGGACGAGGTACGACTTGGCAATCCTACTATGGGACAACTCTGGGTAAGCCATCTCTTCCACTGGGTCATCTCCTAATTTGGCAGATACATTTTGCTGAAATTCCTGTTGATTCTATAAAGTAAAAAAAAAAAAGTTCTGGTAAATTTACTGAGACACATTTCATGGAAGAAAAAAGCTTTTAGTAGTGACTTGTTATTTCATCCTGAAAAACTAATTCATTATACTGTCAGAGACTTTGACTCAACAGCGAGTACTTTATTAG